CCCCCCCCCCCGCCGCCCCCCCCCCCCACAGAGCCAGCTATGGGGAGAGAGTTGGAGCCGAAGGCCCAGCTGGGGGGGGGAACAAATTGGGGGGAGTCAGGGGGGCAAGAGACCCCCCTAAATCCCCCCAGAACAGGGGGATAATCCCAGGACCCCCCAAAACCCCCCCAGGATACCCCCAACCCCCAGCACTGTGGGGGTCACCCCCCCAACCCCCACCCAGGACCCCCCAAAAGTTGGGAGAGGTCACATCCAGGGCCCCTTCTTGTGGTGACATGTGGGATCAGGGAGGGGGTCCCAGGGAGAAATGGGGGTCCCACAGCCCCTGAGGGGGGTCCCCGAGCCCCCCACGTACCCCTTGGGGGGCCGGTAGCCGGGCGGGCCATCCAGGGGCCCCTTCTTGGGGAAGGCGCGGAGCAGCTTCAGCACCTGCTGCTTCCAGGACAGGAGCCGCTTCTTCTGCGTCTCCGTGAACGCCTGGGGGGGGTCAGGGGGGTCACCCGGGGCCGAGGGGGGGGTCATGGAACCCCCCCAGCCCCCCCAGGACCCCCCAGTACCTCGTGGCTCAGGCACTTCTCGAGCAGCTGGAGGTAACTGGTGATGTTCTCCTCGTCCGGCCGCGACACCAGGAGCTGGGTGCACACTGCGGGGGGGTCAGGGACCCCTCCCCAAAACCTGGCAGCCCCCCAAACCTTGGGAACCCCCCCCATCACCCTGAACCCCCTCTGGAACCCTGGGACCTCCCCCCAAAACCTCAAACCCCCTCTGGAATCCTGGACCCCCCCTCCAGAACCCATCGAACTGCTCTGGGATGTCCCTGTTGGGGACCGACCCTGTGCCCCCCCGTGCCTCCCCCAGCTCCCTGTGCCCCCCCTGTGCCTCCCCCAGCTCCCTGCGCCCCCCCTGTGCCCCCCAAGCTCCCTGTGACCCCCCCAGACTCACCCTTGCCCATGACCCGGGTGAACTGCCCCGGGATGTCCCCGTCAGGGACGGGGGCCGCAGGGGCCTCGGCGTCGGGGGCCGGAGGGGGGGCAAAGGTGTCGGGGGGGGGTCCCGGAGGGGCCCCGTCGGGGGTCCCGGGAGGGGGAGGCGTGGCCGGGGGGGGGCCGGAAGGCCTTGATGGGGGTCACCAGGATCTGCTGCAGCTCCTGCAGCGCCGTCCACAGGTTGCCCCCCTCGAGGATGTCCTGGAGGAACACAGTGAGGGGGGAGGGAGCGTCAGAGACCCCCCCAGGGACACTTGGGGACATCGGGGACCCCCAAAACCAGCCCCTGGGGACAGTGGGGGTGACCGGGAACATGGGAGAGACCCCCCAGGGACACCAGGGACCCCCTCTCGCAGCCCCTGGGGACACCAGGACGTGGCAGGGGGGAGTTTAAGGGTCCCCCAGTGTCACTCCTGGGGAACCAGAGGACCATCCCAGTGTCCCCCCATGGGGAACCCAATACCACCCAGTGTCACCCTGGGGGACCCCCCATGCTCCCAGTGCTCCCAGTGCTCCCAGTGACCTTCTCCAGCGCCCTGAGGACGCTCTGCCGCTCCCGCAGCTTCTGGATGCTCAGGGCGATCTTGTGCCGGGCGCCCTTGGTGACGTTCTGGGGGGGACAGTGGGGGGGTCACGGCCCTGCCGGGGGGCCCAGGGACACGGGGGGGTCCCAGGGACGCCTCCAGCTCACCTGTGACTCCAGGTGATGCTCCGTCAGCGTCATCATCTCCTCGTAGCTCATCTGGGCGAACAGCGCCGCGTACTTGTGCAGCCGCAGGCTCTTGAGCCACGAGGGGACGTCTGGGGGGTCGAGGGGGGCTGTGAGGTGGCAGCCCCCCCCGAAGAACCCCTAAACCCCCCCGGAGCCCTCCCCCAGCCCACCCTTCATGCCGCTGCCGTCCTCCTGGAAGGAGTTGCGCCCGCCGGGCTCCTCCGTGTGTTCGCTGCCCGACGAGGCCACGCTGCTCTGGGGGGACAGGGGGGCGTGTTCCCCAAACGGGGGGGGGGCCCTGGGGGCCGCGGGGGGGTCCTCGGGGCCCCCGCCCCCTGCCCACTCGCCCCCCTGGCCGGGCTGGGGGCTGCCGGGCACCAGCGACAGCGAGCGCTTCAGGGGGCTGGGGTGCAGCTGGCAGGGCAGGGCTGGGGGGCACAGGGGGGGTCAGGGAGGCTGGGACCCTCCCCAGACCCCCAAAGCCTTGCTGGACACCCGGGGCCCCTCCCCGTTCCAAACTCGAACCCCCAGACCCCCCTGCACACACCGAGGGTTGGTGCCCCCCCCAACCCCTCCCCGTGTCTCCCGGGTGCCCCCCAGGCCCTTTTCCCACCCCTCCCCTTCAACCCCCAAGGTGCCCCCCAGCCCCACCTCCAACTCCCTTCCTGTCCCCACGTCCCTCCAGCTTCCTCCCTGTCCCCCAGCCCCTTTCCCCACCCCGCACTCGGGTCCTTCTCCTCCCCCCCAGCCCCCTCCCTGTCACCCCCCGTCCACTCGACCCCTCCCCACGCCCCCCCAGCCCCTTTCTCCCCCAGTTCGTCCCCGCCCGTGCCCCCAGCCCCCGTCCCCCCCCATTACCTCCCCCCGGCCCGTGGTACGCGGGGTGCCCGTTCTCGCGGGGTGGGGCCGCCCCACCCCCGGGGGGCTCCGCCCAGGCCCCGCCCGGCTCGGGGGGGTGCTCGGGGGGCCACTCGTGGGCGGGGGGACGGCGCGGGGGGGCGGCGCCGGGGGCCAGGCGCTCCTCCAGGTGGCCGAGCCACAGGGCCAGCGCGCTGCGGTCGTCGGCCGTGGTGGCGGGGTGGATGAGCGCGTAGGACAGCAGCTGCCGGCTCTCCTCCACGCAGCGGTTGCTCTCGATGGCCTCCGCCAGCACCTTCTGCAGCCGCTTCATGTACTCGGCCTTGGCCGCCGCGTTGCCGGGCTGCAGCAGCGGCAGGTGGGACAGCAGCAGGGACACGGCGGCCTCGGCCGGCTCCTGGGGCCACTGCGAGATGGCAGCTGGGGACAGACAAGGGGATGGGGTCACCATGGGCTCCTGGGGCCACCAAGGGCTCCTGGGGCCACTGCGAGATGGCAACTGGGGACAAACAGGGGGACGGGGTCACACAGGCCCAGCAGGGCCAGTAGCAGGGACATGGTGGCCTCCTGGGGCCACTGAGAGATGGTAGCTGGGGACAGACAGCAGGACAGGGTCACCACGGGCTACTGGGGCCACTGCGAGATGGCAGATGGGGACAGGGACACGGGGACAGGGTCAGGGGGCTCAGGGACACGCAGGGACTGAGGACAGGGACAGGCAGGGACAGAAAACAGGGAAATGCAGGTTCTGCCTGTGTCTCTCCAGCCCCTCTCCGGCCAGCAAGCGCTTGAGGCAGAGCAGGACACCCCATATCGCCCTCAGTGACCCCATAACCCCCATGCGACCCCCTCAATGACCCCCCCCGAGCCCCCCAGCCCCTCACCGGCACTGTTGGCCTCGGCCTCGCGCCGGTGGATGTCGGGGCAGTCCTGCAGGGAGTGCTCGAGGCAGAGCTGCAGGAACCGGGCCTGCGTCCTCGTGACCCGCTTGAGCAGCGCCAGCAGAGCCACCGTCTGCTCGCACTCGCTCCAGCCCCGGAACCACCCGGCCACGATCCCCACCTGGTCCCGGAACATCATGGCTGGGGGGGCGCTGGGGGGGCCCTGCCCCCCCTCAGGTGCCGGGGGGGCCCCCCCGGGCCGGGCAGCGCATGGGGGGCTGTGCGGGGGGGTCCCGAGGGCCCCCCGGCTGCGATGGTGCCGCGGGACCACCCCGGAGGAGCCTGCGGGGAGAGGGCACACGGGGGAATTAGGGATGGGGGTGTGGGGTCCGGGACCCCCCCCACGGGGAAGAGGGACCACCCCCCTCCAAACCAGGGACCCCCCAAAGGGACAGAGATCCCCCCACTGGAAACAGAGACCCCCCACGAGGGACCAGGGACTCCCCCCGGTGGGGACAGACACGCCCGAATGGGGACAGGGACCCTCCCCACGACCCCCTCCCGGGGCACAGGGACCCCCCAGGGTGGGCACGGGAGCCCCCCAACAGGGACCAGAGATCCCCCACAGGGACCGGGGACCCCCGAGAGGAACCAGGGACGCCGCAGGACCCCCCCTGTGCACCGGGAGCCCCCACACCCCCTCAGCACGCCCGTACTCCCTCTCCCCCTCCGTCCCCCCACCGCTTTCCCCCGGGACCCCCAAAGCCCCGGCCGGGGATGGGGGGGGGGAGGGCGGGGGGCGCAGGCCCGGCGGGGCCGGGGCCTGCCTGGGGCGCTGTGGCGGTGTCGAAGGTGTCCCGGGGATGCCCCGGGGGTGTCCCAGGGTGTCCCGGGGGGGTTTGGGGGTTCCCGGGGGGTTCCGGGGGGTCCCGGGGGTCGCGGCCGCCCCTCACTCACCGCCCGCCGCCGCCGCGCAACGTCAGCGCGCACGGCACGCACGGCACGCACGGCGCGGCGTGGCTGCGTCACCTCCCGCGCGGCCAATGGGGGAGCGCGGAGCGGGCGCGGGGACAGCGCGAGAGCGGCCACGCCCCCGCCCGGCGGGAGGACACACCTCCCGCCGTAGTTCGACCAATGGGAGCCTCAAGACGCGGCGCTGACCACGCCCCCTCTCTGTCGATCAGGAGGCCGCGCTCACAGCTGCATTAGGCCACGCCCTCCCGCTGGCCACGCCTCCACGTTCGCGCGGGGCTTGAAGGGGTGGGGCCTGGCGGGGGCGTGGCTTGAAGGGGCGTGGTCGGTGTGCAGGGACCTCCCCAGTGTGTCCCAGCGTCCCCCCAGTTTGTCCCAGTGACCCCCATTGTCCCCAGTGTCCCTCCAGTGTGTCCCGAGTGTGTCCCGGTGCCCCTCAGGTGTGTCCCATGTCCCCCCAGTGTCCCCCATTATGTCCCAGTGCCCCTCCAGCGTCCCCCCAGTTCCCCCAGTGTGTCCCAGTGTCCCTCTGGAGATGGAGGGACAGACAGAGTACAGAGGGCAGATCCTGGCCCATTCGTGTGTCCATGTGTCTGTCCGTGTGTTCGTGTCTGTGCATCCGTGTCTGTGTGTCCGTGTGTCTGTGTGTCCATCTGTGTGTCTGTGTG